CCCCAAAACCCCAAAACCCCAAAACCCCATGCTGCAAATTAAAATTCTTATTAATGAAATTAAAATAAATTATAAATTAGAAGAAAATTACTGTATGCTTGAAAATCTGCGTCAAATGTTGATTTTGAAGCATTTAGATTTAAGGTGAGTGAGTTATCTGGAAAGGCCAAGACTCTAATCAACTACCTAGTCTTTTAGATTTATCTGTTCACTTTAAATATCAAATTCGTATTAATCGCCCTGAATTTAAGCTTTGCTCGACTTTTTCTTATTTAAACCAGAATTTCTCTTGGTCCTTTTTACATCAAATATTTTATCTCTTAGTTAGTTTGACAGCTATTCAATTTTAACCTATTGACTTAAAGCTTGACCTGAACTAAGAATCGGTATATTTGCTGCATTAGGAACTGCAGTGCTAGCAGCCATGTTTTATATCTGCTATCTGCTCGTATAGCTTCCTGGAGATTGATAGGCAGTGAGGGATGCCTGCTCATTCTAATAATTCTGCATAAAATTCCTAATTTTCATGACATCTTTCTTTTCTTTTTTGCGATTGGCTTATTGCTCTAGCTCAGTGCCTACCTGAGCGAGATAAGAAGTTTTTTCTCTTGATACAAACTAGCCAAAATTCACATATCCGTTTACCTTCTAAGCAATCGGTTATCGATTATCTACAGATCTTTGAAATTCTTCAGAAGGGTAAAAGCTTCGATGAGAGAGATAGCCCATAGATGTTTAGAGGTAGCTATGACCAGTAGTGCCTGTCCCTGCATTTAAGGTCAAAGAATTCTGATTTAGCGTAGTGCTGTTATTAGTAAGCAATTAGGGTAAATTGGTTTTGGATTAGATGTAGCTTATTATCTTGGGGCTGCTCATTTTACGAAAGGAACTGAAGTTTTCAATGTTGTAATCTATATCTTTTGAGTCCTTGCCTCATTTAATTGATTAAGGGTTATCTACAAGACGATCTACCTCATTCAACTGATTTATCAATCCTCTTGCCTTTTTATAAGTTGATAGTCTTTGAGAAATTTATTTGATATTTTTGACAAGGACATCATTAGACAGAGTGTCAATAATTTTTTCATCAATTTAGTTCATATTCTTCATCTTGAACATATTTGCTTGTTTATTTTTATTTCTAGTACCAATTAATTCCTGTAGAGATGACGACCTTTCTTTCAATGCTTATTTGAAGGTGGCTTTATCAAAATTCTACTAAATTGACTTCCTGCTTGTGAAATTATTGTTACTGATATTTTTCATAGTCCTAGGGCTTTATTTTTTATCCTCAAAGCATACTTAGAAGAACTCATTGACTTTTTTCCTATCTAGCATTCTGTAGGTGGGCTCTTTTACCTTGAAAACTTAGTTGAATTACTGATCTAACTCTTGCCTCTTTACCATGCTATCATGGTGTAGCTGAGAGGTGTTGGGTTTTTAAACGAGTATCTAAGTTTTATAGGAATCCATAAATCTACCTACAAATAATAATCTTTGGACTTTAATAAATTCAATTTAATTCTGTATTTTTCTCTTTCGAAAAATAGAGAGATAGCAGTAACTTGGGGTTTTGGGGTTTTGGGG